AAATAATGGTCTGCTTGAATAAAGCAGGTCTTTTATTCTCTCCATATCAAAATGGGAAATAATCCCTTTGCTTGTAGAATAATGGAAGCACACCCTAATAACATACCGGAACCTGGCTTTTTATAACCCTCTCAGCCACCCCACTATCCCTGGCCTTCTCAGCTATCAGTCATTTTTCAATCATGTGACCTCAGCAGGTAACTTAATTTACTTGTCTCATCTCTACAATGGGGGATAATAACACCTTGCCTTTTTGGAAGTAAAGAGTTGGTCTAAATTATCCAAGGTGCCTGCTAACTCTAAGATCTATAATTTAGAGATTTCTCAAAGATAGTGTTCGTTCCTAATTTCTATGACCTTGATACACAGTAAAATGTCAACCTTACTGTGTAACCCGAGCAAAGATAAGCATTATGTGTCATCTTGGGTTTTCCCTTTTTAAAAAGTATGATTGTTTTCTTATCGCATACAATAAATTAATTCCGAATCTATATTCTTCAATTAGAGTAACACAGGCTTCCTTTTCCTTTCCCCTGCTTGTTCCATATCGATTTGATGAAATTGTAAGAGTTTGTAAAGTTTTACTTTAACATTGCAAAAAAGTGGCCAGTAAAGAAGACTCTGAATGATAAACCTAGTTTTACAAAGAAATGCACAAATGCCCTTCTTTGAATCTTTTTTTCATTTTTCAACAAAGTGGATGTTAATAACTAAGAGAAACTAGCACAATTGAAAATGTGTCACAGATTATGACCCTGTGGTTTTAATGTCTCCTTGTTCTTTTGGTCCTATCAGCCCCAGCCAGAGTTTCCTGAGTATTTCTACTTCTCAGCTTCAATCCGCAATCTCCTGAAGCCTGTCCAGCAGCTGGTCAGCCGGTACCTCTTTAATGTGCTTCAATCAATGGAGTGCTGATTTCTCCACTTTTCACTTTGATATTTCTTCCTTTCAATTATTCGATTCCCATATATGACTCTCTACCTTGATATTTAATTCCAAGTTGGCACTTTCCCAAACAATCCTTAAGTCTCTCAATTTAAAGTACATTTTTATGTAATATTTTACTGAAAGCTTCCTTTCTGTTCACTATTAATTACCTTCTAACAACAAGGTAAAAGCCAATGTGTGAAAATGTATAGCCTACCTTAACAGAAAGAAGCACAGCCAGGAGTGGTGGCTCACTCTTGTAATCCCAGCACTTTGGGAGGCGGAGGTGAGAGGATTGCCTAAGCCCACGGGTTTGAGATCAGCCTGGGCAACATGGCGAGACCTCATCTCTACAATAAATGAAAAAAATTATCTGGGTGTGGTGGCGTGCGCCTGCAGTTCGAGGTACTTGGAAGGCTGAGGCAGAAAGATTACTTGAACCCAGCAGGTCAAGGCTGCAGTGGCCGTGAGCGTGCCACTGCACTCCAGCCTGAGCGACAGAGTGAGAAACCAACTCAAAACAAGACAAAAACAAACACAATGGAAAAACACAAGCTTGTTCGTATTTGAAGAAAGAATATACTAGGTGGCTCCTTTCCCTGAGAAGTCTTGGAGTGTCTGCCATGGAGTCACAGGTCCTTCTAAGGAGTTTCTAGCTCATTCATGTATTTATTTATTCAACAACTAGTTCTCAAGGACCTATTATGCACCAGGCACTGTGTTAGGGCTAGAAGGATGGAGTATATAGATACCCTGTTCTCTGTAGCTTTTAGCTCAGTGGGGGAAGCAGACAAAAGAAAATAGACAAACACAAATAAATAATTACAAAAAGCGATAGGTGCTATGAAACATCAGATTGCTCAGATGGAGGGCAGCGAGGTGAGTATGTACGCTGGGAAAGGAATGGTTCTCTCTGAAGGAGGTGATGTGGAGTCAGAGATGGACAAGAGGAAGTGCCTCCCTGGATCCAGGTTAAGAAGGGGCACCCTGAGGGATCGAGGGGCCTGGGCAGAAGCCATGGCTCAGGCTGCGTGCGGGAGCAGATTGGGTCACGGAGCAGAGGAGAGGTCTGAGAATGTCCTTGAGTGTGAATGGAGGAAGAAGAAGGGACTGCGTTAATCAAACTGCATTGAGTCCTAGGCCTGGGACTGAGGAACTAAGCTATGCTTGGATCCTGAATATTTTACAAATAACCTAGCTCCCTGAGGCCTTGTTGCCCTAGGGCCTGTTATCTATATTCCCCTTGTATCATACAACAAACAAAACTGCACACTGGGTACCTGGTCCACTATCAGGGTGAGAGAGGGCCAGCTAGAGGCCCAAACTTCACCCATGTGCAATCTACTTATGTAGTAAATCCCCACTTGTACCCCCCAACTCTAAAATAAAAACAACATCAACAAAACTGATGAGGCAGTCTACCCTATCTGGACTTGCCACCTCAAAGAGTCTAGACAACACAAATGGATGGTTTCCACACTACCAAGAGCTATTCTTAGCCTATGGTTTATATTATATTATGTTATGTTATATTATATTATATTATATTATATTATATTATATTATATTATATTATACTGTGCTGTACTATACTATATTATTTTATATTATATTATATTGACCCAGGAATTCACATGTAGATGTATCCCGAAGAAAGGTAGCTTGGGGGTAGGGGCCCGGGACACTGAGGATCAAGACACACTTTCAGTCTTCCATCTAAGAAATAATGAAGAAGCTATCCGAAACCACAGGATGGTGAATTACTATCTTCATCATGCATTGTGGAAAGGAAGTCAGAAATAAAAGAATCTATTCATTTAAAAGCAGCACTTTTACTTCAAAGATCAAGACAATTCAGAAAAAGAACGTATCCATATTACCTGAATAACTGTGCAAATGATTTATTTCAGCATTGGGTCAAACTATTTGAAATTGCCGATATTCTATTGTCTTTGATCTGAGAAAGTGACAATGTCACACAGTTCAACAAATACGAGAATAATCAAAAAGATGATTTCCGACATGGATGACTTGGTTTTTTTTTTTTTAATTTTTTTTATAAATTAGAGTCTCCCTCTGTTGCCCGGGCTGGAGTGCAGTGGCACACTCGTGGCCACCACAACCTCGACCTGCTGGGTTCAGGTAATCATTCCACCTCAGCCTTCCAAGTAGTTGGAACTACAGGCAAGCACCACCATGCCTGGCTAATTTTTTGATTTACTGTGGAGATGAGGTCTTGCCAAGTTGCTCACACTGGTCTTGAACCCATGGACTCAGGCAATCCTCTCACCTCGGACTACCAAAGTGCTGGGAGTATAGGCGTGAGCCACTGCGCCCGGTCGTCTTGGTCTTAAGTTGTAACTCAAGCCATAAGCTCTGAATCTGAGTTCTTCACCAGGGGTAGGACTCTAGCATGTACTGACTGCTACCATGTGCCAGCCCTGTGCAGGGCTACCATAGTGGTAGGTGCTTTTCTTATACTATTTTATCTATTCCTCATTATGAGGTGAATAATATCACTGGCATCTTACAGTTAAGAAGACAAAGGTTTAAGGAGATCAACTATAAAATACTGTATACAATGGCAGAGCAAGACCTGATCTCAAAAAAACACTCCAAAACTGGGTAAAATGAGAATAATCTCTAACCGATCCTCTCTTACGTATTCCTGATTTCTTCTTCCCTGATTCCTAGTGGCAAGAGGGGTACACTGGTATCCTCGTTCCCTTCCAAATAAACAGAAATCTGTATTTTATTTTTTAGAGGTTATTCTATCAAAATCAGAAGTATACAATGAAATATTGCCCAGAAAATTAAAAGCAAACTAGCACAAGATATTTGTTTTTGAAAAAAAAAGAAGAGACATATTTTGTTTTAATCTCATATTTTTAGAAGTGTTTGAGAAAGTAAGACATCATAATCAAAGGTAGCAATCCAAATCTGTAGACTTCTTGTGCACATAGTACAAGCATTCCTTCAATGCATCCAAAACAGGAAGCTTGCAAACTCAAACTCTAAGTCTGTGCAATCTAGAAACCTTAATGTCTCCAACTCATCTGACAAACTCCACTAGTTACAGCCAATTGGCATCCAGTAAATCTTGTGGTAGATCAAGGATTACTCTGATTATAAACAGCTCTGGTTTGGACATCTCTTTCATGATGTCTAACTTGCAAGCTAACCAAAAGAACTCATAGGCTTCAAATATAATAGAAAAAATAACAGGTGCTGGAGAGGATGTGGCAAAAAGGGAGCACTTCTATACTGTTGGTGGGAGTGTAAACTAGTACAGCCTCTGTGGAAATCAGTGTGTCGATTCCTAAAAGTTCTAAAAATCAACCTTCCATATGACCCCACAATCCCCCTACTGAGAATATACCCTGAAGAACTCAAATCACTCTATAAAAAAGATACCTGCAAACGTATGTTTATCGCAGCATTGTTCACAATAGCAAGATCATGGAACCAACCATGCTGTCCATCAAAAGAGGACTGGATTAAAAAAATGTGGTACATATACACAATGGAATATCACGCAGCCATAAAAAAACAAAATCATGAATTTCGCAGCAACCTAGATGGAATTAGAGTTTATAATACTGAATGATCTCTCACAGAAATAAAGATCTGAGTATCACATGTTCTCACTCATAAGTGGATCTTGAACAACTACTGTAATACTATAAGAAAAGGATGGACGGGAAACTATGGGGAGGGCAGGGAGGGGAAGGGAGGTGGGATTAACGGTAGTCGATATCTGCCTGGGGAAAGGAGGGCACACCTCATCAACAAGGGTACCTGCGCAGTGAATATTTGTATACCTAACCCTTAACTGTACCCCACAATTTTAAAATTAAAAAAAAAATATTAAAAAAAAAAGAAAAATTAATCCCTTTCGGATTTATTTTGTATCTTGGTAAGGACCAACTTTGATCAGATATTCAAAAAGAGTTTTCATGCCTTTAATGGTGAAACAAATATTTGGGATAAAATAAAATATAATCGATAACGACTATTTCAAAATAAATAAAAAAATTATTGTATAAACCCACGTCACTTAAGTATAATTCAATTTTGTTTGTCCTTAGCTGGTCAGTTCTCCTATTTTAATTTTCAGGGCCCAACAGCTAAAATGTCCATGGTAAACAGTTCTGTCTTCCCTTATGAATGCCTTGTTCAGATGTCATACTTATTTCTTCCATGAAGCAAAACATAAAGATAAAAACTCAAATAGCATATGAAATGAAAAACAATCGGATGAAAGGTTTAATCACAATTTTTACAGCTTCCCGTTATATTATTTGTTTTTCTCTTGCAGATGAGCTCTGCTTTCTGAAGCTTCACAGGATTATTATTCCTGTTTTTACTACGAGGGTTACAATCTTAATGTAAGGACAAGAAAAGCACATACACATCACTTGTTTCCATATATATTCCTGAGTGAATGTGACACTATCTCATATCATCGATATTGCACAGAACTTTTTCTTATCTTTCCAGAAAATTTAATTGATTTTAATATTGAGGGAACGAATGTATGTAAAATCATTTAGCATTTACGTAAAATAATTTTCTTAATCCATCACTCAAAATAGAGTGGAAAATGCCAATTCTCTATCAATAGTTCCAAGCTGTAGTACCCCTGCTCCCACCCACCTCTTAACACTGATGTGGTTGGACCTAAAAATACAGAGCCATTAAATTTATCAAAAAATAAGAAACGATGCAAAAAGCATGGATAAGCATGGCAAAATTATGGCAAAAATAGTTGTGTCATGAAGAGACTTTAACAAAGCAATCGATGCTGGGCATATACATTATACTTGTCCATATTCTTATTTTCAGGATTTCTGAGTCACATCTTAAAGAAAGAGTATCCCATACATTTTTAGGTTGTGTCTATACATGGGAATTAAAAGTTTGACGAAAAATGATAACATGTGGCAGTCTTGGTAAATACAAGGCCGTGGTCAGTAGCAGGGCAGATTTGGGGTTGGATTCCCAGAGCATTTCCTTAATTTGGATCTTGCTGGAATGTACTCTTTCACTTCTAGCTCTCAGGCATTGGAGAACAAAATGGCCTTTGTATCTCTTCACAAGGGGGCCACAGTAAGATTACCATGAGGATTTTCAAAGCTACTTCTTACTCCACCCTCTCACTTTGGTCAACTTCTACCCCATGTCAATTCAAGGCTGGGATACAAATGCTTCTATCCTTCTCACTGAAAACACAGGATCTGTTTAGGGATTAAAAGTTAGGCTGAAAAAAGAAACCCAAAATGAATGTTGAATGTTCATAGCAACCACAGTGATGGATGTGGGCTGGACCTGGAAATCTGAAATCTAGAGTCTAGATCTTAAACCTAGAGATCCTCAATCTAGAAATCTTAAAATGTTGGCACTAGGACTCCTTGGGCCTCCACGAATCACAGGCTGGTTCTAAGAAAAGAAGGCGCTTCACAATCCACGACGGAAGTTTCACAGTATTAGTAGGAACCCTCTTCTTAAGCGATGACATCCTTTTTTTAAAAATTCAGTCAACAGTCAAAGCCAGAGACACAGATGGTGGGGAACTGCCAAGCTTATGCCCATACTTTGGGTTCACTGGTAGAGGAAATCCTGAGATTCCCCTGGACCTGCGATAGCCTAGGAAGCAGAGAGCACAGAAAAGCCCCATTCTCCCCAAATATCTCCCCACATGGGCCATTAATTGTCATCGTCAAGGCATTTGGGTTAACAAGCTCCTCTTTTAAAATGCAAATGTCCCCTGGGAGGGTTAAGCCTCATTCATACCTCAGTGCGAATTAGTTTAATTAGATAATCAGATCTAATTAATTGAGGGCTCAGGGAAAGCGAGTTTTGATTGAGGAGGGCCGAAGGGAGGAAAATTTGGAAGGGATCTGGGGTGGGGGTCTCGGAAGAATTAGGAGCAGGCATCAGGTGTTGGAGAGGTCTAGTAAGACTAGAGCGAGAACGTCCAAGGCAAACTTTGTCTACCCTTCTGTTTTTCAGCCAGGGTCACAAGGTGCTAGAATGCCACTGAAAATGATCGCCATTCTCACCCCTTAGTGAAAGGTGTCCGGATTCATTTGAAAGGCTACAAGCCTCATTGTTTAAATGCATGGGGTCTGGCCAACTTGCATATCGCAAGAAAGGAAGAAAGAACAGGAGAAAGAAGAGACATGGTCTCCAGGTTTCCTTGGGTAGAAGGTTCATTTCACCCACTCAGCTCCCAAAGCCTTACGGACTCTGATAACAGGTCTCTCTCCCGGCTGTTGCTGCTGTCAGCAAGACTGGTGTGGAGGGAGATTGCTTTTGAATCACCCAAAGATGCCCATGGGGCAGTACAGGAGGATGATAGCATCGTAGGATAGGCAGCCGACTAGGTTCATGCCCTAACTGTAGAATTCACTTGCTGTAAAATCCTAGGAAAATTATTTGACTTTTAATAGCTTCAGTTCTTCGTTTAAAAATGGGGATAAAAAGACCTAACTCACAGGGATATGGCAAGGTTGAGGTGAGACAGTGTAGTGAAGACCCAGGAAAGTGTCCAACGTAAGCAAGTGTGCCGCTGAGGTAGCTGGTATTGGCATGTGTTCATGACGACAAGCCCAGCTCCCAGACTGCACAGTGCGTTCTCCTCTCTGTGCCTCTGAGCCCTGGGATTGGAAAACACTGTCTCGCCACTGGTTCACCTCTCTTCATGCTGCAGCTGTAAGGTCCCCTATTTTTTTTTTTTTTTTTTTTTTGAGTCAGGGTCTCACTGTCGCTCAGGCAGGAGTGCAGTGGCACGCACACTTACAGCAACTGCAGCCTTGACCTACTGGGCTCAGGCGATCCTTCCGCCTCAGCTTCCCAAGTAGCTGGGCCTACAGGCACATGCCACCAAGCCTGGCTAAGTTTTCTATTTATTGTAGAGGCGTGGTTTCGCCAAGTTGCCTAGGCTGGTCTCAAACCCCTGGACCCAGGCAATCCTCTCGTCTCGGCCTCCCAAAGTGCTGGAATTACAGACTTGAGCCACCACACCCAGCCAAGGTCCTCTCTTATGGGAAAACCTTTGGGTGACACTCACCTGGGCCTTGAAGCACTCCCTCAGCAGATTGACATGAGTGCCTTCAAGCCCGTTATAAGTTCTTTAAGGGCAGAGAGCGAATGCCCTGGGCACGTACTCCCTAAAGCCTGGCATACAGAAATGGCTGGATGCCTATTTTCAGAGAGAGGGAGGTGGAGGAAAGATCAAAACATTTACCTGTGGGACCACGCCAATCTGTGATCTCAAAGGAATTATGACAAAAACACACATCCTTTTGAATTTGTGGCTGATGTAGACACAATCCTTTTCAAACAATACAGATAATAGCCACAGAATGCTAACATTTAGTAACAGTGGAAAAATAGACCGAGAAATATTTTAGGAAAACATCTCTACTACTTGGCTAGATCCTAAGGGACTAAAATCTAACTCTGTGAGACAAGTAATCTATTACCAAGACATGCACTGTTCATTTTTTAAAGGTGGATTTTACATAGAAGTATTCCCAAATGTGTACAAGGGTGGAATGCCTTGGACATGTTTCTGTGACACCCATCCAGGTCACGGGGCCCCTTGGAGATGGCTGTGTTTTTGTTTTTCTCTAGGCTTAATTGCAGGTATCAATATGCCCACCTTCTAATATCCTACATTCTTACAATAAATCTTTATAGCATCGTATTTTTCCCATTAAAAGAAATACAGTGGTGCCAAATTGTTCTTTAGCATTGTAGTTTGTTCCATAAACAACAGAAGGCACTCATATGGCAAAAACAGCTTTTTCATGGGCTGAAAAGGAAAAAAGACAAGCAAAAAAAAAAAAAAAATGTTTTGAGGAAAACTTTTTTATGGGCCCTTATCTGAGACATCCAAGTTTTAATAAGATTACAAAGAAAATCGTTGTGGGGAAGAATAACACAAATGTGACTTGCAGGATATAGTAAGAGTCTTCCTAACTCCTCTAAGCCCCATCCACACAGCTGAGTTTAGGACCCAACGGTACCTGGAGAGAATCTTCCACGTGAACGTGACTTCTCCCGGCTGTGTCTGTGCTGGCGCCTCTGCCTCTCAGTCTCTGGGTCTGCGTTCATTTATCACATCCCCGTCCGGGAAGACCCCATGATGAGGATGGATGTATGGTCTGAAGTGAGACTGGTTCCTGTGTGGCTCTGACTGTTAAATTAGCTTCGTGACCTAGACACATCATATAACCTTCTGAGGCTGCTTTCTTAACTTTCACACGGAGATGGCAATAGCATATCTCAAGTAGGCAGTGAGGATGAACGGATGTAACAAGCCCCGTGTCTGACACACATGGACACCCCCGCAATTATACTACTTCCAACTCTTGTTCCTTATTTCCGGCGATCTCCTGGAATTTTATCTAGGTCCTGCTTTGTCTTCACTCTCTTATATTGACTTGATACCCCAAGAGGACCAGGCTCTTCCACGCTTTGTTTCCTGGTCTCCAAGTTGCCTCTGGAGACCCGTCTTTCAGGCAGCTTTGTAGGATGACCTGGGGTCAGTGACAAATGTGGCCAGGGGCCGGGCTTGGTGGCTCAGCCTGTAATCCTGCGCCTTGGGAGGCCGAGGTGAGTGGATTGCCTGAGCCCGTGGGTTCGAGACCCGCCTGGGCAACTTGGTGAGACCTCATCTCTACAATAAATCAAAAAATGAGTTGGGTGTGGTAGCGCGCGCCTGTAGTTCCAGGCTGAGGGGGAAGGATCGCCGGAGCCCAGCAGGTCGAGGCCGCGGTGGCCGGGAGCGGCCACTGCACTCCGGTCTGGGCGACCGAGTGAGACGCCAACTCAAAAAAAAACCAAAAAACAAAACAAAAAAACAAAATGTGGCCAGGGAGGTGTTCCTCTGTGGAAAGCCTACCAGAGTTCTCTAGCATATGAGAATATTCCTCAAACAGTCCAGATGATCTTGCATTCCCCTTTATACCACTTACTGTCAATCCAAGATACTGTGAAATTAAGCTCCTCTTCAAAAAGTGTTTTCAAATGTAAAACTGGGGGAACAAATCACCACATGTAGTATGGCTTGATGACCCTATGACTTCTAGCAACA